CAAAACGTTTGAGTATATTATTTGATAAAGGGAAAGTCAGTCAGAGTTATGTGGCATTTTAATTAAGGTCATGAGGCGTGTGTCTGATATGAGGTTTCACAGGTATACCTAATTGGATTGTATGTGGAACATTTAATATATTGTGCAGAGGTCATCCCTACTGAAGCGTATTCATTCTACTGAAACCTACTGAAAGGCCCAGATTAAATCGGTAGACCTTTTTCACATTTTTAATGCTGATTTTGTGGGGAAATCATCATGAAATGTGTTAAGCAGAGCTGACACTATTACAATGTATTGATAGCTGAATGCATAATCAATCAAGCCCAAATATTTAATAAGCAAACATGCATGGGGCTGTATTTACATGTGCAGCTTTTCAGACTTCATCGCTTTGCCATTTGAATGTGAGGAATTCAAAGTTTGAGTCTCAAAATCTGTAAAACCAGCTGCCATGTATCTGACAATTAAAAGAAAGCGATTGGATGCCTATTCAATACGTTAACATGTTTAAGAATGTAATAAATATTGAGCAAATAAAGATATGTGAGGGATAATAAACCAGATAAATAAATACATAGACAAGAAATAATAATTTGAGATTCATTTATTTTTATTTTACATTGTTAAAATATTTCAAATGAATGCTGTTCTGTTGAACTTTAAATTCATTAAAAAGTCCTGAAAAAAAGTTGAATGGCCTCCACAAAAATAGTAATCACCAAATCAATATATTAGATTGATTTCTGAAGAATCATGTGACACTTAAGACTGGAGAAATGGCTGCTGAAAAGTCAGCTTGGCCACCATAGAAATTAAAGGTGCAGTAGATCTTGGAAAATGCTAACTTTAGCCTGATAGCACTGAAAGCGAACGTCCCACCCTCCCTGCAATCGCCGTCCAAAGCCACGCCCCCTGAACGCATATACGCTCGTCGCTCACAGACCAGAATACCAGAGACAACATAACCACAATAGGCTACATCGGCGGTTCCAAATTCCAGTCCTCGCACTGGATGTGAAGACGTGTGTGTGTGTTTGAGTGAGTGTGATGTGTGTGAAGACGCTGCGCAGCGCAAATCCATGAATGATTAGGCCCTTTTGCACCGCTTTAGTTCCAGAACTAAACGTACGGTACTAAAGTACTGGTACGAATTTGCGTGACCTATTTCCCAGTACCATTTAAAGGGTTGCATTCGCGCTGAGAGTATGTACTAAGAAGTGACGTAAGCCGGTCGACAGCGACGTCATTTGTGCGCGGCGTTCAACAGAAACAAATTAGAACAACATTAACAACAGGAGGATGGAGGACGCTGTGATCGGAGTCAGTGTGTCTCGCGGGTTTCACAATAATGGACATGGAAAGTCGACGTATACATAAAGCGATTGAAAGAACGGAAAGGAGGACTAAGAATCTCCAACGACAACTGGCAGTGCTACATTTGCTACAAGTGCCTGCACTTCAGCGTCCGTCCATCTATCGCTGTTCTCCATACTTGCAAAATAAGTTGACATGTTTACAGTATGTTTACACGACGTTTTAAATCATGGCGGGTGAGGACGTTTTCATACGCATTTGGCCAATCAATGTCTACTTACGTCACGATTAGTACCAGTTGTGCTGGTTAGACCCTGCTCCGGAGTAGTAGCTAATTTGGTTCTCGAAAAACGATGAGAACACTTTGAAAGTACTACAATACCAGGAAGAAAGATCGGGTTGTTGATGTTTGTCTGCCATTCTCGGTCCGAGCGTTTTGATTGGATGAACATTTCTTGGTCCTATGCCTTCCACAGAATATATAAATGCAGATAAATACATTTAGACCACTTAACTTAATGATTGCTATCGTGATGTGAAGAGACTTTCAACCAGCATAACAATTTTTTTTTTAAGACAATCACCTATTGCACCTTTAATGACATTTTAAAATAGAAAACAATCCTTTTAAATGGTTATAATATTTCACAATATTTCAGTTTTTAATGTATTTTTGATCATATAAATGCAGACTTGTAAGCAAAAGAGAACTTGCCAACCCAAACTATTCAACGGTAGGTACATCAGTATACCTTTACATCTGCATGGAAAGAAACCTCAAAGACTCTTTCTCTTTCTTTCCTGGCACTGGTGGGAGGTGGAGGTTATAAAGATGTTAGGCCCTCTTATTGAGATGTAGTGTTAGAGGTGCTGGGAGGTTTCAATAAAAAAGTTAAAATTGTATAGGTGAGGCTTCACTTACAGCGTTGGAGCTAATTGGCAATAAATGAGTCCATCTGGTTTCATTTGCAGCTTGCAAAACCAGGAGGGTAAGTGTGTGTGTGAAGGAGAGTGAGGAGGCGGAGGTGGGCTCTCTTTTTTTACCCCCACGTACCTTAACACCATGCTTAAGTTGAAATCTAGTGTGGGTGTATGTCCGCAGAGCGCTGCCCCAGAGTGATCAGTGAGCTTTAGACAAGTTACAGTCAACAATGTTGAGAAAAAGTCAAGAGGGAGCTCCACTATGAATAGCCATATGATAGACTATGGAGAGTATGTGATTACCTCAGTGCTTTGTGCACTGCACATTTAAGCAAAACAAAACAGTGGGGGTGAAAAATGATTGGGAAGGACAGAAATATTTCTGACCAGAGGAACTAAAGGAAGGAGAGAGCTGTTTTTTTTATGTGTGTGTGTGTGTGTATGTATGAGGCTGTTTGAGGTTGAGGAGAGACGAGTGAAAGGCATGTGTGTCCTGGGCTTCTCGTAGATTGCTGGTTATTTTCTTTACCCGGGCAGCTCAATCATGCCCTGTGTGTTTGCGCAGCTTGTTAATCAACGCGAGTGTGATTAGCCCTGAGCCAGGCTGATCAAACCCCACCGAGCGCAGCCAAGGCCAACCCCATCCCTCCCTCCACTCACTCACTCACGCATCCACCCACCACCCCCACCCCAAACTGGCTTCATCCATCCCAGAAACCTCCTACTAACTGACTGAATTCTTTGTGCATTTGCAAGATTCTCCTTCCCTTCGCTCTGCTCCACCTTGAGAAAACCGAAGGAACGAGCATCTAAAGTAGCTCCATTCTTGGGATTTGGCATTTGCCTTTGCACTCAGTGGAATATTCTGGGTTATATATAAACTAAGTTCAATTGACATATTTTGTGGTATATTGCTGAATATATATATTTTTTTTACTTGTCCCTTGTTTTCTTAAAAAAGAAAAAAAATTGAGGTTACAGTGATGCACTTACAGGAATGAATGAATGAATAAATGAATGAATGAATGAATGAATTTTAACATTTACAGATTGGCCCCATTGTCTTCCAATTGTAAGTGCCTTGCTGTACCCCAGATTTTGTAGTGCTGTTGACTGAACCCGGAATATTCCTTTAATTAATGACAAACAGCTTGTGTTCTTCTACTTCACACTCACTTGTTCATTATCTCTGTTGATAAGGAGTGGACATAAGGCATAGATCACAAGAGAGCAAAGGTGTTGCTTTACTTTAATTTTTCATAAACAAAGCTGAACCTAAGAAGCTCCTGTTGGTTACCTGCTGACCACTGATGCAATCCGGTTTGTGAATGCAATCCGGTTTAACAGGATGCTACTGTTTATGCTGGTGGTCAAGGTCACACATGAGCTCGCTCTCACTCTCTCTCTCTCTCTCTCTCTCTCCACTTCTGTATGATGCCCAATTGGGTTTCCTTCCATCAACAGAAGTCCTAATTCCCCATATAAAATATCTGGCCAGTGCACAGCCCTCCTGGCTATTGTTTGAGAGGCACTTTTAGGTTGGCCTTACTTCCTGTGTTAAAGCTATGGGGGTTAGATGCTGTACATTCTGTTTCAAATCAAGATTTTGGCCATCGCAGAGGGAAATTTCCCAGGGTGACTAACACACTGTCAGAGTCCCACTGTCAAATCTGAAACAATAATTAATGCCAGGGTTCATTGTGTGGAGTAATGTAGGACTATGTATACTGTGTTTACTGTGTATTATTTATTATTTCAACTATGGACACTTTCTTGATTGTTCTTAAAGGGACAGTTCACCCAAAAATGCAAATTCTGTCATCATTTACTCACCCTCATGTCGTTCCAAAACTGTATGACTTTCTTTTTTTATGTGGAATTTTTAATGTATTTATTTTTTATTTCTATATGGAATGGTGTGAGGGTGGGTAGATGACAGAATTTTCATTTTTTGGAGTGGACTATCCATTTAAACACCTTGCATGTTTAATTTTTTTACACTCTTTACTTTGTGCATACATGCATCATCTGTCATTTTTGCCATTTTTGTTCTGCATCCATTCTGTGGTGGAACATTTTAAACTTGGTAAACAAGTACTCTAACTTTTGGTAAAAGTCTATCAAAGATCCATCAAAAATAGGTTAATTGCCCGGTTTCACACTAGTTTGTGAGAGGTGCTATATTGAACCTAAGGGGAATGAGTGAGCTGCATAAGCTGTGACAAACCGATGGTAATTGGATGGTAAGACGTTAATGGTAAGATGGTAAGATGTTAGTTGATGAGAAGGTTAAGAGAGAATGTCAGCTCATTAAGAGAGATCAGGAAAGTGATGGCTCAGTGGGGGATACAGGATGAGCAGATACAGGATGGTTGGATTTGAAGCTGAAGAAATATGTGATGAAGTAGGTGATGACACCTGTATTTGCTCACATTCTTGCTTTTTATTCTCTGTTTTTACTAACTTTCTTTAACCATTTCAAATTGATTAAAACAGCCAACAACATACACTGAACAAGCCTTTAATCCCTCAGCTTACTTTGGAGAGTTTTACACATGATAAAACCTCTTGTGCAGAAGACAATTGCTGTATTTATTCTTTGTCACGAACATCCGAACAGACATCCTCTTTGAGTCCTACCTATTGAAATGGGTGACAAAAGAGGGAAGAGGCAGCATGGAAAAGTGCCCAAACCTGCTAAGGGTATCTGTTTTCCTCCGCCTGCACAGGGGAGAACAGCCGGACGCTGTGTTTGGGTGCGTTCTGATAGCGGCGCTTATCGAGCCCCGTCTCTCTCTCTTCCTCCTTCCTCCTCTCCTTCTGTCTTCCGACCTCCGCCTCGAGAGGAAGGCGCTTATGTCATGCCGATTCCCCGGGCCTTGTGGGAGAAGGAATGAGAGCAATACATTGAGAGAGAAATGGGGAAAGGTGCATGCATTGCTGTTTGTAACTTTATCTTCATGGTGATTCACAAAGAATGAAAAGAATCCTCATTCTGGCTTCTGGAAAATACTGTCTTTATTTATTCACCCGTGCATCATTCCAAACCTGGATCACTTCTGCAGAACAAAAAAGAAAATTCAAAATATTCTCTTTATGCAAAAAAGAGAAAGTAAGCCATACAGGTTTGGAATGACACGAGGGTGAATAAATGATGACAGGCTTATCTTTTTTGGGTGAACTGTGTGAAGTGATTTTACAAACTGTATGCCATAGAGGAATATCAAACCTGGCAATTCCAGTTTCTTCTTCTTCAAACAAGGCAACTGCAAGGAAGAAATAAGAATGGTGCCAAAGAAAAGAAGTCTTCCAGGGTCTGTGAGAGGAAATGAGCATTGTAACTGAATGCTGCGTGGTGTTGAGGCCTGAGGGCAAAACTCAAAACCTCATATCCAGGAAAAAGAAGCCCCCTCTCTCTTTATTTCTCTCACATCCTTTCCTCTCCATCTCCCTTCCTCATCTCTCTCCCACACAACTAGCATTCAGGTTTGTCCTACTACTATCGCTACCCCCCCTTCCCCCCAACAGGAAATGAAATCCATTTTAAAATCATTTGGAAAACCACAGGGGCTTCAGACCAGGAAATATTCAGCGTGGGAGAGAGAGAGACAAGCCAGAAAGAGATAGAGCGCTGTGGATGGATACAGGACAGAGATGCTCCATGATTTCAGATTTGTCTGCTCTCCCCCTCACACTCTGACTCTTTCTCTCCCTTCTGTGTCTCCTGTATTCCCATCCCCCAACGGAAACGGGATATTACACAGTGGGTGGCCAGTCCTGGACCTGGATCTCCCTTTGCCTTGCCACCCTGACCCCGTTCTGACCTTCAGTAAAAAGTGCCACCTAGGGGGCACTGTCCTCTTATCGCCACACTGATAAGATCTGGTCTGACATTTCTTTGGTGCAATATCTTAAAGGCTGCCACTGAAGTCAAATGGCCAAAATCCCACCTTTTCATTATTCTGTTTTCACCAGTGAGGCTCTCACTCTCCCTGGACAGTCTGACGGCAGTATAGACGAGAAATCAGACGCCTCAGACTTAGATGAGACTTGTCCATATAAAAATGACCCTTGAGAAGAGTGAAACACTGAGGCTATCAGAATAAATGTGTTGAATTCTGATGCAGAAAGAGCAGTATACATACATACATATTTATATTACTTGAAATTTACATCTATTAATTGCACGTTTTTATGTTAAAGTACATGTCAATGTGAAATACCATTCACACATGATTAAACAGGTTACAGAGTAAAAAGGTTTAAAAAATTTTTTTTTTAAAGAAATTACTTTTATTCAGCAAGTGCATTAAATTTATCAAAAGTGACAGTAAAGACAATTATAATTCTACAAAAGATTTTATATTTCAGTATTTTCAACTGATCATAATAAGCAGTAAATCAGCAAATTATCATTGATGATAATGAGTAGCAAATCAGCATATTAGAATAATTTCAGAAGGATCATGTGTAACTGTACTAATGGCAAGAATAAATAACTTTTTAAAATATATTAAAAAAGAAACTGTAATAATTGTAATGATATTTCATAATATTAATGTTTTTATTGTATTTTTGATAAAGTGAATGCAGCCATGGTGACCATAAGAGACAAAAAATTTAAAAATCTTACCAACCCCAAACTTTTGAACGGTAGTGTATGGTGCATTTAATATTGGAATTATGACATTTATGAGTTAAATGCACATGAACATCACCATAGTCGCAATAATCGGTAAACAAAATATTTCTTAAAAATGTACAGGGTTGAAGCTTGCCAGAGAAATACTATAATGCAAACAGCAAACTACATTTTCCATAATTCTCTGTGGCAGCTCAAGATGAATATATATATATATATATATATATATATATATATATATACATATAAATTACACACCCAATGTGCCTAATTCCATTTGAAGGCACAAACTCTCAAATAAGAACTTCAAAGGAGGACTTGAATGTGCATTAAAAAATTAAATAGGGTAAATTTATTTCAGTTGACTTTAAATGTCATCTTTAAAACAATGAATAGTGTGATTTCCCTAACAGTTAGCATTCCTACAAGCCGTTGAACACATTTTTTTAAAGGCCTTGATATACTTTTGTGTGCTTTTTTTGCAATTGAGTATTCTTGGCTCGCAGACATATCAGTTTTCCCCTGCTATAAAACGGGCATGCTAAAGAGAAACAACCCAGAACAGATCATTTTCCAAGTGTGTTTGGCACCGGCTAATTTACAGCAAAAGCTGAGTGTCTCAATCCGCTCCAGTGGTTGCCTGCCGCTGCCTCCTGGTGGTTAAAATCATGCAACCTCAAAGTCGTATCTGCCATCAAGGTCCACTAAATATCTACTTTTGTATTTCTAAGAAATTTATCAGGAAATTATCAATTAAATTGATTGATAAATATGATTAACAAATAGCAATAAACCTGTAAAGATAAACAACGACGAGGTTGTGGAATTAAATAATGATCCACTGATTTATAATGAACTTGCACATTTCATAACATACAATATGACTAACTTCAACCATGACCTACAAACCTAAAATCCAGCACAGGCTGTTTCAAGAACAACACAGAAACAGAGTCATGCTCCACTTAGGCCTGTTCCGACATTCAGATACGGTCTCAAGCTAAGACACACCAACCAACATCCCAACATCCCAAAGAAGTCCGCTTCCACTTTACTTCAAAAAATGTGAACTGAAATTTTGCTGTAATCATGTCCTCGTTACACCATATTGTGAAAGAAAGTGGACTAGATTGTGAAAAACAAAGTCAAGTTTTGTATTGCGAGTCACAATCAGGAGGAAAAGCCCCCAGAGAATGTTCACTCATCAATCAATGTATGGCATTAGTGATGTGTACTGTTCTGATTAAAGCCCACCACAGAGAGGTGTGACAGTGTGTGCTCCAGTCTACCTAAATCTCTGTCATCACAGGCCCTAATCTCAGCTGACTGAGCTTCAAGGGAAGCGCCAGCCCTCGCTCACTAACTGTTGAGAGACTGATTGCTTTGAGGAATTCCACAAACATTAATGCATTCACAAATAGGAAGACTGTGCAATAAAGATGCAAGACAAGAATTCCTTCTTTTTTAAATTTTTTTTTACACAATATAGAATACTAATATGTAATGTACCCTATATACAACCCTGTATGCAAAATATACTGTACTGTCTACGCATATGTAAAAATGTTCCTTTTCCGATATTAATTGCATTAAGTAAAGGTTTTACAGGCAAATAATAAGATGGTTCCAGACCAATAAACATAAAATAGGTAAAATATACATTTTAAATAAATGCAGTTCATTTATTTAAAATGTACAGTTCAGTTCAAAAACAATATTCCACAATTTTCTACTGCATCTTGCATATTTTATATGGCTTTTCATGAAAACGTATAATTATTATTATTGATAATAATAATTATGTGTTATATTGATAACAGTAATAGTAGTAATAATAATAATAATACTACATGAATAAAAATATTTAAATAATATTAATTAGTAAATAATATTTTATAGTCATGTCTGTTGTGGAGCGATATCGTCGCTTACTTAAAGAAGCATTAAAATAGAAATGGTAAAGTTAGACTGCTGTGATATTGTGACATTTAAAACAAAAATGTTTTTGCCAGTGTACATGCATTTGACCTCCAATACAAACATGTAATATTCACAGCCAAATGTGTCAATTAAGAGTGACTCATTGCCAGAACCTACAATTCTTACTGACTGGTGTTTTTATTATTATTATTATTATTTATTTATTTTATTAATTTTTTTACCAAGATTTTACATTATAATCTGCATGTCTCCTGTATTAGGAAACCTTCATACTGATGATGGGCCATGAAGGACAAAGAAATAAAATCAAAATCTATACAGACCAGGAAATAGCTTAATGTAAAGCTTACTTCACATAGCTTACTGTCTACTGGAGAACCACATACTATCATCTGATAAAATGACAATAATATACTTAATTAACTGAAACTAATCCCGGCATCTCAGGAGAGCACACACTCCAGAGGGAAAATCCAAGCACCAAAAGACTTTTCTACTAATGTCAGTTTGTAAGTCACTTTTTCAACTTTGAATTCATACATGTGTGAATGACTTCTAATGTGTGTGCGTGCAGTGTACGACGTGTCGCCACGGCGTGTGACGCACCCCAGGAGTAGACAGTTCCAGCGTGGAGGGGCTTGATTGATGAGCCCATTCCAAATGTTTTCGCGTCCAAGTCAGTGGGAGTTTGAGTTGCCTTTGCGCATCTTAATATCAAACAAAACATTAGCGTCGGATTCCCAGGGCTGGCTGCCTCTCACTGGATTTCATTAGTCACCCCTCCACAGCACACAAATGCGCTGCGTGGCTCCGGGACATGGAGAAGAGAGAGAGAGGCAGAGAGGGAGAGGAAGGGCAGGGGGCCATTAAGGGATCATCATCTCATCCGAGCTTCCCTACCGCTAAGGATCAAAGTGTTAGAGGAAAAGAAGAGAATGTCCTTATTCTCCAGTAGTTTCTGATCAGCTCTGCTGCTCACTGCGACACCACATGAATCTGGACCAAAATGTAGATACACATGAAATAATGATTTTTTTCCCTCAAAGGCCTCAGTTGCTGTTTGCTTATTTAATTTCATGTTTTTACAGTGCAGAGACCCCCAAGATTCAGCTCACGCATCTAAATAGCTATATTTAAACGATCCCTGCCGCGTACCCGACCGACTCCATCAGGAGAAACACTGATCTTATTCACGCACTAATGAGGGCACTCATCTGTGTGTGTGTCTCCCCTGCCTACTTTTCCTCCTGCCAAGCCTTGATGCAATTACACCCCCACATCTGCAGGGGGCTCCCTCCGCCCATCGGTATGGGGCTTTCCAGGGGCCCTTTGGCTCCTGATTCACGGTTAATCAATCATGGTGCCTGGGTAATGACGCCCCACTGCTCCCCTAATGTCTTCTGGCGGGAGCCTCTGCCGCTGGCATTGAGCTCACGCAGGCACACATATGGCCGCTCTGAGTGAGTGACAGGACCCCTTTTGCGTGTGTGGCACCCTGCGCGACGGAAGCCATCAGCTCAGCACATAGACACGCGTGCTGACAACCACACACACGCGCCTCAGGGAAGGAGGAGAGTGACTGGAGAGAGGGAGGAAATAGGGAAGAAGTGCCACTTGGCCAATCTTCTCACGTCAAAGTGAACTGTCAAGAACAAAGCAAGTAGGGCAATGTGATATTTTTCAAAGCAGCTTGGGATGAGGAGCATTTGGAGCCCTGTGACACAGGGTTGTGCGACATTCAGAGTTGAATTTAGAATGTCTTTTTGAGTTCCACTTCAATTCATGAACTTGAATTGCATTGAAATGATGTAGCAAACGGGATGCAGAATTGCATTTCAGATTTGAATGTAAGGAAGTAGATTTAAAATGAACAAAAATTCACACAACTGCAATTTTAGGCAGCAAAGCTTTTTGAGGCAAATTATGAATGTTGGCTTGAAAAAGACTTGCTTTAAAGCTTTAAAAAGTTTTTAAAAAGCATTGAAGTTGGAAGGTTTATAGGCCTTATGGACAGTTTTCTGCATTGATAATAGCAAGAAACATTACTTGAGCTGAGCACCAAATTAGCATATTAGAATGATGTCATTTTTAAAACGAGCAGATTTCTGATGGTCAACGCAGCAAATTTGTGACCAACTTAAACACAAGCGCAGTCTATGGGGAGCTTTTTTGCTCTCACCCGAAACTCCTGATCGGGCAGACTCCGATTTGAAATCACTGTATTTCGCTCACAATGTTTCGCCAAACACTGGTAAATGTGACTGCACCTTCTTTCAAAAAAATGATCTCGAAAATCTTACCGACCCCAAACTTTTGAACAGTAGTGTACAGTATATATTATTTAGTTAAACAACACTTCATTACCCAAAATGCAGTACCTGCACTAAATGAAGTACTTATATTTAATGATGTATATAATAATTGTTTTCAATTTTGAAAACAATGAATTTAAATTCCCTTTTGTTTCATGTACTTATAAATTTATAATGCCACTTATAGTAACTTTATTAAAAGTCTGCAGTTCAACCTGCTTCTTATTTGTCATTCCTAGATTTTATTATTCATATTTATTCTTTTCCAGATCAATTTTACTTGATAAACTTAGCACATATGGCTTTGATAGCTTTTGGATGGATTTCCAAAAGGCCCTTGACAAAAGCCAAAAAAAGAGAGAAAAGACAAGAAGAATATTTCAGAAGGTAAAAAAGACTACGCAGAAAACCTTATTGAATTTGTGAGATTCATAGAGCACATATTCATTAAATCTGTCATGTCAACTGTCTGTGTCGTCTGTATGTACAGTCACAGTCATTGTGGACTGGCTTATACGGTTGGCCCATTCAATCTGTTTGTATGAAGAGGTGCTCCTCAGGCTCTAAGCATTTGTATGCAGTATATAGAGTGGCAGAGGCCCATCTGTGCAGCCTAAAACCATCCTAATTTATGTTTCACACCTCTTGCTGCCGCCACACTTTGCATCTCATAGCACATACTATCTCTCTCTCTCCCTCCGTTTCTTTTCAGTGGCAGTGACAGTGAAGTTGCTTTGGCTGTTAAAGAGCAATCCATCATCTGTTTAGAGCGCTTCATCAACATTGTGTACATAGCAGTGCTAAAACAGAGAGGATTTATGTTGCTCAGACAGAAGCTTTTTCTAGTGCCATATGGATGAGGAATAAAATCACAAAAACCAATTAAAAGGAATAACATGCATGCATTCTGTTGTGAAAGCTGAGACAACAAAAGATCACGTTAGTGGCTCTTACATGAGCTTGTGCTCACAGTATCAGACTACAATCTGTTTCAAACCTTTTACAAAACCAGTTCTTCTTTTTTTATGGTACGAATATCTTGCCGTTTGCTGTATGCTTTTGGATTGTTTAATTTTATTGTATTTTAGTTGTATTACCACTTTTCTAGCAATATATGGATTACTGAGATTCTAAAACAGAACTGAGCCCTTACAAGAAACTGCTGTAGTACTTTACCATGGTACATCCATGTGTATAGTACTCCAGAATAAAATAATGGTATTCATGTTCAGATATCATGGTAATAAAATTGTTTTTGTTATTAGTTTTTAATTATTTCTTTCTTTTTACTATTTAATAAATATACTGCAGTACATGCCGGATTTCACTATTCAGTAGGACTTGTCAAAATCTTGTCAAACATTTGCCAAAAAAATAAAACGATTTTGGGATGCACCAGTATTACAATTCTGATGATCACAATCACTGAACTGGTGGATATTTAAAAAACTATTTTGTGTGAATAAATAAATAAATAGTTATACATGGTTCAGTCAAGTTAATATGGATCACCACATTATAATGTACAGTATGAAAAACTTTACATTAAGCTCTGTTATTAAATTATTAGTGTTCTTAAAGATTAAACCAATGTGTTAGATTACAGCAAATGTAATCTGAGTGTAAAAATATGAAAAACATGAGAACATGCATAATGAAATATCCAATACTGGCCAGTAACTGATATAGTACTGATATATTGTCCATCCCCAAATATACTAAATTGACAGTGAATATGAACATTAAAGTACAGTCTGTATAATTATGCCATACGATGATGTACTGCCAATCTACAGGAAGTTGATTAGAGAAAGGCAATGCCAGTGGTCACTGGAAGCTTCTAAACGCTGCAAACTTAAGACACCATTACTCAATAAATGAAGCCCTCCTCTGCGATCTTCAACTCAACACAGCTAGTTGACTCAATTAATGTTCCTTCCCCCTCTGCTCTGGTGTCGACTGAAAGCAATTCAACTCGGAGCTTCCTTCCTTCAATGTTCCATGAAATTGGGCCAGATTGTTGTGTCACGTTAATTAATGTAATCCTCGTAGCACTGAAAGAGCTTCAAGTGAATAATTAGATCTGCTTTGATCACAAGACTGTATATGATATTTTTGTAAAGCTCAAAAAAATCTTATCTAAGATTAAGAAAGATGTGGCAGCGATTCAGCAGAGTGATGCAAAACTGTATGTAGTCTCTGTACATGTGTAACCTACAATGTATAAATGTAACCTACTGCATCTCTATTTTCTGTGTAATTCTGGGTCACATACCTTTCCAGTTTAAAGACAGAGCATCTCGGCACAAATCAAGGTTTACAAAATCACAGGATTTTAATCTGTGAACCATAGTTACACCTCATGAGCACCTTTTTTAGTAACTTTTTATCGCCACCTGCTGGCGAGAACATAAACTCGACACAATATAAATGCAGTGGTATTTTACGTTTAAGTGTGGTGTTGTCGGATGTATGTATAATTGAAATGTAAAATCCCAGCAGTAATCAAAATAATATTTTTGCATTGATTAACTATTTCTTATATTTGCAGTCTGAAGCTTTTCATATTCATCTTTGTAGATCCAACAGTAGAGCATGGCATAGCAATGCAAATGTCATGGGTTTGATTCCCAGGAAATGCATTAACTGTTAAAAAATCAATACCTTGAATGCAATTTAAGCCACTTTGGATAAAAGCGTCTGCCAAAAGAATATATGTAATGTAAATATCAACATCTGAGTTATCTCAATATTTGATATGGATTTCATTATAACAGACTATAGGGCTATGTTATGTTTATACAATGTCAAGTCAAGTCACCTTTATTTGTATAGCGCTTTATACAATATAGCTTGTGTCAGCAGCTTTACAGTGACAAACAGGAAAATAGTTTGTCAATAATTCAAGAGGACAATAACAAAGAGCTATGTTTCAGCTAAAGTCAGTTCATTGATGATTCAGGGATGTCATCATCCAGTTCAGCTCTCTTCCAAGTGTCTGTGCACTATTGCTACAACTCCATTCAGTGACAGAAATGGAGAAAAAGACATTGGGAGAAACCAGGCTCAGTCGGGGGACCAGTTCTCCTCTGGTCAGACGAAAGCAGCATGGCGTGGTTTAACTCCAGGCTGAAACACAGGGCAGATTGTGCAGAGGTCTGGTTCCCGATGGCCGTCTAGTCGACGAGGTCTTCGCAGGGGATCTGTCTCTGGGGCTCTTCAAGTTGACATGGTCAATCAATGTGATATAATATTCTTGCCTCATTCATGCTATTAAGTGCATACTGCCCTTAAAAATACTTGTCTGCAGACTTCTGAACTAGCTTCTGTTGTATATAATGTAGTATAGATTATTTTATAATTTTTTAAAACAAGACATTGTCAACGCTCCATTTTATTAAATTTGAAAGAAAATCGCAAGCGTGTACTTTAAGGCATAATTTTTCTTACCCAAAACTTTAAAAACACTGGAATCTACCAGCATGAGGTCTCATTTTGAACGTTAGATGGCAGTCTTGCATCATTGAATGATCCACACACTGAAGACATGGTTTCAGCTAGCTTGCACTACTGTTGATATAAGTATTAAAATTGGATGTTTTTTTGTTTAAAGAAGCCTCTAATCTTACTTTGATTTTCTATATTGTTATACTAAGAATAGTAGTAATGTAAAGTTGCACAGAGCTTCATCTACAATCCACTTTAATACATGTGCAAGGAAAAAGGCCAAAGACAAGACACCCAACACACTATCAAATTTAGAGCTTTAATAGACAATTTGTGTGCATAGATTCCTTTTAGCTGCTTTTGAAAGAGAACAGAACAAAAAAAACAAACCAATAAGGAAACCGAACAGAACAACAGTGAACAAGAACTTGAGCATTCAACTCTTTATGCAAGCTCCTCTTCTCCCTCTTCTTCGAATTCTCCCTCCTCTTCCGCAGTGGCATCTTGGTACTGCTGGTACTCTGACACCAAGTCATTCATGTTGCTCTCGGCCTCCGTGAACTCCATCTCATCCATCCCCTCACCTGTGTACCAATGCAAGAAGGCCTTGCGCCTGAACATAGCAGTGAACTGCTCGGAGATGCGCTTGAACAGCTCCTGGATGGCAGTGCTGTTGCCGATGAAAGTGGCTGCCATTTTGAGGCCACGAGGCGGGATGTCGCACACAGCAGTCTTGACGTTGTTGGGGATCCACTCCACGAAATAGCTGCTGTTCTTGTTCTGGACATTCAGCATCTGCTCATCCACTTCTTTCATGGACATGCGGCCTCTGAAAACAGCGGCAACGGTGAGATAGCGGCCATGGCGGGGGTCACAAGCAGCCATCATGTTCTTGGCATCAAACATCTGCTGGGTGAGCTCGGGCACTGTAAGAGCCCGGTATTGCTGACTCCCCCTGCTGGTGAGAGGGGCGAAGCCAGGCATGAAGAAATGCAGACGGGGGAAAGGCACCATGTTGACAGCCAATTTGCGGAGATCAGCATTGAGCTGGCCGGGGAAGCGCAGGCAGGTGGTGACCCCGCTCATTGTGGCAGACACAAGGTGGTTAAGGTCGCCATAGGTGGGTGTAGTGAGTTTGAGCGTACGGAAGCAAATGTCATACAGTGCCTCGTTGTCGATGCAATATGTTTCATCGGTGTTCTCCACCAGTTGATGGACGGACAGCGTGGCGTTGTAAGGCTCCACAACAGTGTCTGAGACTTTGGGTGAGGGCACCACGCTGAAGGTGTTCATGATGCGGTCTGGGTACTCCTCACGGATTTTGCTGATGAGGAGCGTGCCCATGCCTGACCCGGTGCCACCTCCAAGGGAGTGGGTGAGCTGGAAGCCTTGCAGGCAATCACAGCTTTCTGCTTCCTTACGGACCACATCAAGAACTGAATCTACAAGCTCAGCGCCTTCTGTGTAGTGACCCTTGGCCCAGTTGTTTCCAGCACCACTCTGACCTATGGTTGAAGAAATACAGATCATACCAGGCTCATTTTGCTCTACAATTTAACATTTAATTAAATGACAAAACCAGACTTACCAAAGACAAAGTTATCTGGTCGGAAGACCTGCCCAAATGGTCCAGATCTCACTGAATCCATGGTGCCAGGCTCCAGGTCGACAAGAACAGCACGAGGTACATACTTTCCACCTGTTATAGAAAAGTGCACATTTATAATCTTTAAAAAAAAATTTTTTTTTAACTTTCTTGCAAGGTATTTGAGTTTTATGCTGCAAATGCAAACGGACCAGTGGCTTCGTTGTAGTACACATTAATCCGCTCCAACTGCAGATCACTGTCTCCATGGTAAGTTCCCGTCGGGTCAACTCCGTGCTCATCACTAATCACCTCCCAAAACTGATCACACAAAGGAAAATTAGTCGATATTAACATAAAATTAGCACTTTGAGTACAAGCAATATCACAAATCTTCAAAAATACATTTAATTAACGTCCTCTTTTGCACTGTTGTCATGGCAACTCTCAAAACTACAAACGAAAGTTTACAGAGGAGTAAAACCAAACTGGAGAGATATATAACCAGTTAAATCGCTAGTTACACTAACTAATGTCACTTTCCTCAAGAAATAACAACTAGTCAACTATAATTAGTTATATAAATAAAAGAACTAACGGTACACAACATTTAACGTCAAACTAACTTCTGCCCCTCGCTTTTGGGGGGCTAATATCGTAATCAATACCCTTACTCACTTTGGCACCGATTTGGTTTCCACATTGACCAGCTTGCAGGTGAACAATTTCCCTCATGTTGAATCGTTAATGAAAAAGCACTTTTTTTGTTCAAAACCAAATGTAGTGACCTCTCACTGCGCGTCGACTAAACTATGCAGAGCACCGCTAACGGTTTTCAGTTTTAAATAATGTCAGCCTTCGCATTCAAACACAGGCGGATGAACGAGACGTCAATCATTCTCTGTCCGCGTTTGATTGGTTGCGGTGCACGCGCTATCATGTCGCTTCTGTTTTTGATTGGATTAGAGATGTTTAATCTGTTGTCAATGGTTACAACACTGAGAGATCGCCCAGAAACCGTTTTGTATTGGTAACCAGATACGCATCGCTTTTATCATTGAATAGACCTATTTTCTCATTGAGAATCGTGTTACCAAGCACCACCTTCACCAAACAGTACATGACACGTTTGGACTTGTTAACTATAACTCCGTAACTCCCATGTATAGTATATAGCATCAGTAGGCTATGTCATGGCTGGGGGAGTTACTGTAGAGATATGCACTCAACTCTCAAATGTTAGGCTACTTATAAAACATCTATAGCTGACATTTAAGAAACTAGGTGTAAATTCTGAGTCATAAAGCAAAACCATTTAACAACCACAGCTCTATCTCTTTATTTCCAAGTTGCCTCCTTTCTGCTGATCTCATAAGAAAACGTAACTATTTTACGCAGAGGTGATTTTATTAATGTGAACAACAACAAAAAACATAAACATGAATGTCCACCCCTAAACCTTAGGCCACAGAGAACCTCAATTAACCTCAGATTTGCAAAAATGTAAAATAGTAGGCCTAACAAATATGCCATTAGAGTGCTTTGGCTTTTCAAAGTAAGTCAAGGATTGTCTACTTAACATTCACCATTTTGATGAAATAAATCAATAGTTAATCAGAGATATGTATGAAGGCTTAGTAGTAAACTATCCTGCGATAGAGATCACAAAAATGTGTATTTCCTCCACTAAGTCTTTGTATTTTCGTTTTGTATAGCACCTCCATTAGTTGACCCCTTCTGATAATGATCTATCGCTGTTGATGTAAATAACAAATGAATGAGAACACGAGAAAATAGTTATAGTACCCTGTGGCTTTGAAATTAATATCTTTGACCCTGTTTCAGCACCTCTTTATTTAATTTCACAAACTTGTCAATATACACAGGTACAGACAGAAACACACACTCAGAAACATACACAGAGATGCTAAAGAACACGAAGAACATACTCAAAAGTACTTGAGTAGTAAATTATTCCTCGATGATGCAAGATTTCTCAAATTTCCAATCCACCTTATTTTTCAATGCGGTAGTAAGACATTTTCTGTGTATGTGCGAGACTTCCGGTTCATTAGCCGTTAATATATAATATGATTAGACGCATACACCAATTTGCAATATCAAGCAGCAAAACAAACTGTTTTGTACAATTAAAAATAGGTGGAAACAGATGACACCGGAAGCCAGACCCATACATTTTATGAAATTTGTAATTACAAATGGCCATGCCTGCTCTTGTGAGAAAAATAAGGTGGATACAGCGAAGTATTTGTGTAGGCCTGTATTGTGCTGCCATCTCTAAAGTGCTGAGAACAAGTTGGATGTACAACATCGATTAATTATTTATGAGTATCACAGGTGTCATACATCCTTAGAGGGGATTCAGTTCATGCATGCTATGACAGAAGCACACATAGGCTGAGCAAGTACAAAATGAAATAGGATTAATGAATTTCCACATTAGGACATATGTTGAGTTGTTGAGAGAAAGATCCAAGATTTTATGACATGCAAGAGGACAGTTTACTAAGCCTTCATACATAACTCTGATTAAATACAGTTTTAGTCAAGACTACGTGACTATTGAAAGCTCAACAGAGCAATGGTATCAACTGTTAAACACAATACCCTCAAACTTACTTTTCAAAAGTTTGGGGTCAAGATTAAAACAACAATAATAATACTTTTTCTTCTCCAAGCATGCATTAAATTGATCAAGAGTGACAGTGAAGACATTTTGATTGCTACAACTGATTTCTATTTCATTTGAATGAAAAAAGATTTATATTTGAATAAAAACATTTAACAGTACTGTTTTCAACTTTGATATTAATAAAATGTTTCTTCAGCACCAAATCGGCATTTCATAAGAATGACATCTGTAGGATCATGTGACACTAAAGACTGGAGCAATGTCTGATTAAAAACAAAAAAACAAAAATCAGCTTTGACATCATAGAAATAAATTACATTTTAAAGTATATTAAAACTGAAAACAGTTGTTTTCAATTCTAATAATATTTCACAATATTACCGTTTACTATGCTTATGTGGTGACCGTGATTTCACCAAGTACAACATGTTCCTGGATCAACATCCTTGTTGATCAACATCCTGGAACAACATTCCTATCAACCAATCAGAATTGAGGGATAACTTTTCAGAAAATATCTGTTTTAGGCTTACAATCAGGGTTAGGTGCTTCTACACCCTTGGTAATCAGCTAACATTTCACACTGTTTTTAGGAATGAATTATGGGTAAGGTTGGGTTTAAGGGTAGGGATTGGGTTAAGTCTATATTTTTGGACAGTTATGTTGATCCAGGATCAACAAAAGATGTTGATCCAGGAACATGTCTTACTTGGTGAAATCACGGCGACCTATGCTTATGTTAAAATAAATGTAGCCTTAGTGAGCATAAGAGACATTGAAATACATTACAAATTATTACCTACCCAAAATATTTGAAGGTACTGTGTTTGCAGCAAGACTCATCGAAACTTAGGGCACTGATGTGTGAATGAGATACTCCCTCAGGGACTGGGAAAGTCTGAATTTGAGAGGCTGTATATACTGTGTGTGTGTGTGTGTGTGTGTGAGTAGGAGTGTAAGGCAAAACTATGCACTGCATTATTGATTAATACTCAGTGTAACAACACTGGCAGCAGCTGCCGTGCACACACACACATCTCTTTTTAAACAAGACAAAAAAGAAGAACTTTGAATAGGCAAAGTGGGACATCATGCACACTCCCTATAGCTTTTGACCTGAAATTTAATTTCACCTTCTTCAGTTTAGTTTAAGTTGACTAGACACATAAATATAAAATGTTTTAGGCTTGTGTTCCACACACTCTAGTTTATGGGTCTTATTTTATTTATTTATTTATTTATTGTCAAGGCTTTACCCTGTTTTCATTTCCCTTCTGTTGCTGGTGATCCCTATGAGGAAAGCTAACCTAGTTGGAAAACATCCTCCACTGTCCAAAGGCAGAGCAAAAACAGCTCTCTAGAAACAGCAGTACTGCTATAGAAACTCCCCACACAGAGGCCTATTTTCAGACTCATACAGAGTGATATAGGTCTACTGTATGTACTGTACATTCATAACCAAGGAAACACAAAACAAAGCTCAGTTTTCTGTTTGTTTGCTATCCGACGTATACACAAGAAAACAAAAAAACCTTTGTTCATTCTAAGTTCATTTCCTTGTTCATTTGAAGTTGGAACAGACCTAAAAACACATTCAAGTCAAAATTGTATTAACAAATGCATGGGTCTGAAAACATCCTCAATATATCCTTCCTTGGATATTGTCACTCTTTTGCATACTCCTATTTTACAATGCAATGCTCTTATGTTAGTTTTCAAATCAGAATTTTATCTTAAAGGCTATTTATATTAGTGATAAGGCAGGTTTCTTTAATAAGGAAGCTTTTTTCTTTTTAGCCAACAGGCATTATATTTTTACATAAACTCAACCCCAGCAAAGGTATATACATTTCAGTTTATCAAACAAGTTTTTGACCTTTATGTTATTCAGGGTGAGTATTCATGAAGGAGGGCATGTAAAAATGAAGATAAGAGCATCTCATGTTTCGCCAGCAACACAATGTGATGAGATGTTCATGCAACATGACACCTTGCCATTTCAGTTTTGCACTCCCGCCCAAGCTCTCTGGGGCTGTGCAAGATTAGTGTTCACATCTAGATGCATATGTCGATGTGCATATATATAAGGGAATTCAAACTATGAGGATGTGTGTGTGTTTGGGAAAGAGATAAAATACTTAGCATTTCAGTAGCTTTATATATCTGATGAAAGCTGACGTTTGAGATGAAATATTAAAATGTTTTTTATAAAAGTAATTTCTTTTGTCACCAGCATAGAAGTAATGATTACCAGTCACACCACAGACTACAATTAAGATAAATAACTACATGTACAGAACATTTGCATTCGTATAGTGTCTTTAGTCAAAAATATATTTTGATATTTTATTAGGATGTATCATATTTTTATACATTGTAAGTCACCGTCTCTTATCACAACGAAGGAATGAATACAACCTCAGCAAGGAATGAGAATATAAATATACCAGAACCAAGCAAAAAAAATAATAATAATAAAGTGAAAAATAAAACAAGCATACTGTCAAAGGGGCAGTTGTCAATTGAGTATTTGTATATGCAATATATTTAGATGATTGACTTTCTGTTAACATACAAGTAATATCTCGGATCACTTAAAAAAAAATCCCATTAATAAAATGCGTAAGACTGTATAACTGACTGAATAATCTTATTCAACAGATCACCTCCCAGCAGGTTTGACATTATCCTGGAAGTAGCCAGGGTTGGTGATGTTGCCAGAAGGTTTGTAAAAGGCCACAGTGATGAATTTGCCCTTTCCATCTGATGCCAGGCCGACGCCAACCTGCTCTGTAGACCCCCAGATCATCTGGGTGAAGTTACCTGTCCACATTTTAAATTTTCAGTTATGGATTGTGATTGACTTTGATTATAATTTGATTGTATTGATTTTTATATGTAAATTAACATTAGCATTTCTTACATATGTACTTGATATTTGCCATTTGATTTGATAGATTTAACTGTTTTAACTCTTCAACTGATATGAGTGCAAAATTAGCCTACCAGTTCCATTCTGAAAGCCAGGGGCTGCAAAGTTGTACTTCACATTTTCCTTGTACCATGATTCAGCAACTTCATTTCCTATAGTTTAAAAATAATCAGTTTTTCTATAAAGGTTATAATTATAGTGTGCTACAGTTCCTTAAATAGGCCCCTTTGGGGTAATAACCAATTTACCTGTTGGAGGCACCATGGTGGATGTCCATTTGTATGACATAGTCTCTCCATA